TCGTTCTGGAGCTCGGCCAAGTCGGCGCTGACGAAGGGCAAGGAAACCATCAGCCGTATATCAAAGATCAATCAAACCGCAGACATCGTGGACGGGATCTCGTCCATCGGTCTCAACCAGGTGCATGTGTTTCCGGAGCCACTCCGCCAACGTGTGTCGACGTTGCTTAAAGAGCGCACTCAAGTGCAGTTGGAGAAGCTCAAGGAAACGATCACGCTCGGAACGTCCAAGTCACGGTTCCCATGGGACAGCCACAATGAACAGATTGGATGGGAGATGGACAAGAAGTCCAAGATCCCTGAGTTCCTCTACGGACCACAGGAAACCATGGCCTACATGGCGTTTGAAATGGACGGCGTGTTTTCGGCAGTTCATCACGTGTTGCGCCAAATGACAAATGTTGACGGCGAAGCGGCGCCATTTCGGCCCAAGTCCATGCTCGACTTTGGCGCTGGACCTGGCACGGCGTCGTGGGTCGCCAAGGAATTCTTTGACGAGTCGCTGAATGAGTACCGTCTCGTGGAGCCGAGTCAATCGATGATGGACGCCGCGGCGGTGGTCATGGAAGGTTTCCGCGGCCTGAGTTTTCGCAAGTCGCTAAGTGAGATGAAGCGCGAGATTGTCAAGGGCAAGCAGTACGACTTGATCGTTGTCAGCTTTGTGCTGAGCGACATCACCAATGACTTTGAACGCATTGCGGTCATGTCCACACTATGGAGTTTGCTTGCAGAAAATGGACGGTTGGTCATCGTCGACAGAGGTGTGTGTCCCCTCCATTGATACCTCGCAAGGAGAGAAAGTTGTCACAACAGCATCGTAGGCAATTCGTGGGGGTCTTTGCAAGTGCGTTCAGCGCGTCAGTTTATCTTGGACTCGTTGACGGCGAATGCAGAGGAGATGGTTGAGTCAAACGATGCGACCCCCCGCATCGAAGGCGGCAAGGTCCTTGGCCCGTGCCCCCACCAAAAAGAAGTAAGTGGGTTAAGCGATAGCCAGCGACGATTTGAACGCTCATGCTGCTGTCGTGTGCAGTGTCCGATGCAAGAAGGCGAGTGGTGTCACTTTGTTCAGCGGACGCCGCGCGTGATTCAGCCGCGCCTCCCCACGACGCAACGATGGGCGGGCTACGCAAGTATGAAATTTTCGTACGTGACGTTGGAGAAGAAGGCGGGCCACAACTCAGAGAAGGACGCAGCCACGCGTACGGAACTTCCCCACGCGCGATTGACGCGGTAAGGAGTGCGGTCTGACCTCACATGGAGGAGATGTCATGGGGGATGTAGCGGGCCGATCTTGAGCAATCGTCACGTCACTTTGGACCTGTGCCATCCAGAGGTAGAGCGACAGTCGTCGTGAGTTAATTTGACTTTGGTGAACAGGGCACTATGGAGCGCCGATCAGTGACCAAGGGACGAGCCGAACGCGATGTGTACCGAGCAGCTCGGAAGGCGCATTGGGGGTCCCAGTGGCCTGCAACAAAGGAGAGCTACGAACTGCCCAAGGTCGTGCATCCCCCCAAGCGCCGAAAGAAGATGTCGGCAAAGAAATTGGCAGCACGTGCGGGCAAACTTGTCGCAGACGTTTAACACTACAATAGAATTTTTGTACAAGCATGGCATGCACAGCACCTGCGCGTGTACTAGTATGCCACAACCCGTCGGAGGAGTAGACACAACGTTCAGGTCAAACATTTCAAAATGACAAAGGCCATCTATTCATTCTAGTACTAGATATCCCACTTGCCATGACTCCTTATAGTTTCTTGACAATGTCGTCGTAGCGAGGCACGGCGGAGACGTCGCCGACGGACGCCAACAATGGCTTGGAGGAGACCAACTTTTGGGCCAAAGCTTGAACGTCGGCGGCGGTCACGGCCGCCAAACCTTGCTGCACATCGCGTTCGGTGATGGCCTTTTGGGTCTTGGCAGAGCGCGCCAGCTGAGTGAGCGAGCCGTCCTTGGATTCGACCCACGAGCTGTAGCCCAAGCCGCTCGACTTCTTGGCGGCTTCGAGTTCTGCTGTCGAGACAGCTTGGCCAGCCACCGACTGGATGTCCTTGAGCAAAGCGAAGGTGAGGGCCGACGCGTCGGCGGCCTTGGCCACGCCGCTCAGACCAACCAACGCAGCATCTGCGTAGTTGGCGGCGAAACCGGTCGAGAAGCGGCCCGAGCGCTGAGAGAGCAAGTGTTCCAACACGTGCGCGGTGTGCAAGTCCTTGCCCGAAAGAGCACCACCGGCAGAGAAACCCACAGCGACGTACGCATGCGCCGATGAAGCGGCAGTGCGGTGTTCACCTCCAATGTACACGGCAGGGGTCATGTTGTTCGATTGACCGGCAGAGATGTCGGCAAAGTAGGTGTTGGCCACATCTACCAACGACGATTGGGCGATGTTGCGGCCGACCAACACCATGTTGGATGCAGTGGCGTGCTGGGCATAGAACTGTTCCATCGACTTGGAGTTCAGCTTGGACAGGTTGTCCTTGGCGTAGATGGAGCGACCCAACGTGCGGTTGTCGTAGAACGCAGCGGCGTGCACACCTTGGACCAAGAGTTCGATGGCGTTGGCGTGAAACAGTTCCTCGTCGACGGACACCTTTTCCTTTTGGGTGTTGATGTCCCAGTCCGCATGGCGGGGTGCGAACAACGATTCCGCCAAAATGGCCGCGGCGTCATTGACGTATTCCGGGGCCACAGTGATGTTCCAAGACACGTAGTCGCGGCCGGCACGGCTCGACACGGACCCGCCGATGGATTCGATGTCACGGAAGACGGCCAAGTCGGAGCGTTCCTTCGTGGCGCGGAACGCCATCTTGCTAGCCAACAACGAGATACCGGCGTCCTTGGACGTTTCGTGACGGGAACCAGTGTTAAACACAACGCCCAAAGTAGACGTCGTGGTGTACGCGGCCGTGGACGAAGCCAACCCGAGCCCCGACGTGGACTTACCTACAGAGACTTCGCTGGAAAGCGGCGTGGGCGTACCGGTAGGCACCGACAAGAGCGCTTCGGAGAGGCTGCTAGCTTGGCGTACACCGACAGACGACGCCGTAGAACGAAGGACGCGGGTCAGGCTCATGGTAGCTACCGGCGAAGGGGTTGACTGAAATGACTGGTTTGATCAACTCCACAGGTTTGATCCCAACCCCTCCGTCGCCCAATCGACCAATCACAGCTCGATCTCCTTCTAAATTCGATTTTATCCAATCAAAACTTTCAGTGCAAAGAGGTGGCATCCGTATCCGGACACCATGCGAAGAACACCTTCGACGGACCAACCAAGAGATACGACGAGGTAGCTTCGCGTGTCAAAGGTGGAAGGTGTACGTTCGTGGTAGGTGGAGCTTAAGAGGACAGAAACTAGAGCCCCATTCAAACGCGCGAACCATTGGCATGCTGGAAGTTGTCGTGAATGGGGGGGACAATGCAATCCAAGAATGTTATCCGGATGGTGTCTAAGTACGTGCCCCGGGGCATGGCCACTGTGCGAAACGACACAACGGGTAACGCGTTGGTTATGAAAGCCAAGCCGCCGGCACCGACCGACGGTCCTGTGGTGGAGGATACAGGAAGCGCCAAGGACTTTCAAAAGATCTTGGACACGTTCCAAGACAAGCAGACGACCGAATTGTACTCGCGGCAAGTGGCGCTCCTTCAAGTGCTCTTGCAAAAGTTTCCAATCGGGTTGGAAAGACATGCGTGACTCCAGGAGGTCGCTAACCCTGTCGGTAGATTCAAGCTGCAAAACTTGCCTGACGTAGAGGCAATCTTACGAATCGCGTACGAGAAGATTGCGGCCGGCGTCGACGTCCTGATTGAGCCCGTGTGCAGCCTCGTTGTGCATTGCTCTAAAGTACGTTCGTAGCCGCAATGTTGGGTATCATTCGTCACAAAACGTCACGTTGAGCAGCCGTACTTGCGCATCAAGTCCAATGAAGAGTTCACGTCGCCGCAATTGCTCCACAATTTTGTGTGCCTTTTGGGAGAATTTCTCGTTTCGTTCGACCCGCAGATCCAGGTCGCTGCAGCCGACACCCTTCGCACATTTGCAACGGGTGCATGTACGAACTGCAAAGTTTCCATCGAATTCGTGATCACTTTCACTGGGTGGGTAGGCCTTGGCCACTTGCCCCGGCAATCCGCCAATGCAGACGAACACAGCGACGACCAACGACCGCTACCGCGCGACTACTCTCAGCAGCTCATCGAGCGTTGCGGAGTTGCTGAGGCAGCTGCAGCAGCCTTGCAGCGCCTGTTGGACGATCAGCAGGTTTCTCGTCCACGCTTCACTGAGCACTTGCAACGACGATGCATAGGCAAACGACGACCACAATCGCATGGACCTACTGCTCTTTCCGATTGTGGATCTGGTGCAAGAGATTTCGAGCTGGGGACCGAACGCCCAGATCCTGACGGCTCATGGAAGCCACCACCATATCCTCGACATTCTTGACCAAATTGACGACCTACGAGACGTATTTCTTCCATTGTGTTTGGATATCCTGTGGAATGTGCTCGAGATCAGCGCCGCCACGACGGCAACGATTCAGAGCTGCTCGTCTCGTGCGGTCATGCTTGACGCGTTGCGCACGAAAAACGCAATCTACGCGATGGGAAATCTTCGCTCGTTTCAAGTGCTGCACAAGTTGCTCCAGCGCTTGCTCATGAACGGCTACCGCAAGCAAGACAAGGAGCTCCGGTAGACCTGCCCACACATCCTTCGGCATTGTGCTCATGCAGTTGTGTCGCAGTAACACTACCCTGATGATCCTCGACATCCTAGCGTCCAAGTCGCGGAACTTGCCACTGTTTGTAGAGTCTGGCTTGCTCGCAACCTTACTTAAGTACGCAGAGGCGGCGGACATCGCTCCCCCGCCATCAACTTCGGTCGCCAAGGCATCAAACTTCGCCTCGTCGTGCGATGAAGACTTCGAGTTCAAGCACATGCTGTGGATTGTTCTGGCAGACGTGGCCAAAGGCGACCTCGATGCCGTGCGGCTCATATCCGATTCGTCCTTTCTCCACGTATTGCTGTTGTATGTGTCGCCGGACCAAGAACGAAGTCACGATGGTCAACATTTTTCACCTGCCCAGCGGCAAGTCTTGCAAGTCATGGCGCTGCACGTCCTCTCGGCGCTCGTGCCTCGCATGCCCGAGCTCTTTGTCGAGTTGCACGGCCACGTGGTGCTGTTGGAGTTTGTCCAGGTGAGAGAGTTGTTTCAGCACGGACGGTCAAGAACACTGACGCTGCGTGGTTCAGACAAGTCGGGACGAAGAAGCAAGTGCACTAGCCCTTCAACTCTGTCACGAGCTTGTATTGACGTCCCCTGACATGCAAACGGACGTCGGCAGCATCGGTGGCGTCGAAGTCATGATCACGTTGTTTGCCGATGCAAGCCGCGCCTGCTTGGTCCGCCGCACTGCCAGTACGTCCATGCGTTCGAGCGCTATATGCTGATGGTGTCCGTAGTTGCCGTCTGTGGGGCGATGTGTCGCGACCACAACGCAAACCAAACGAGATTCCGCCGAGCGGACGGAGTCGCAGTGCTGAGTTTGCACTTGCACTTTGAACCGGCGCACGCGGTGAGCCAGGATAACCTGATAGTGGCCGTCGTCGGCTGCATCTGGTCGAGCGTAATCGGAAACGCCGAGAGCGAGCTGTGCTTGATCCAGTCCGAAGGGGTCGACAACCTGCTGGATTTACTCGAAGTGTGCGTCCCTCGCATCGCACGCATGGTTCTGTTTGCACCGGTCATGACGTTGAAGTGTACAGGTGCCCGGCTGTCATGTATAGCCAAGTGCTTGGCGTGTTGGCGGAGCTGTGCGAGAACGTCAAAGCGGTCGCGTACTTTCAAGCGTGGAAAAGTAAATCCCAATGTGGTGCGACGCAGCTGCTCCTTCGTATGTACGCTGACGAAGAAAAACGACTGGGGGTCCAACGCCCGGCCCCCGGGTTCTTAAAAAACATTGCACGACCACTTGCCACGCATGAGTTGGTGCTTCCCCCACCTTCCCCGTCTGGTTAGTCGCCATGTTTCAACGCATCCGTGTGATCTAACTTATATGATGCAATGTCTGCCTAGCCACTGGCGACAAGCAGCCCGCGGTTGCATTTGTACGACTGAAGCAAGCGCTGGTGCACTCGAAAGGCGCGCGGCACATGGATCCAAACAGACGTCGGTCGATTCCATCCAACGATGGTATCTGAGATGATTCGATATAGGACTCGTCGCGGCCACCGCCAAAGTGGATTTGCGGTCCAAAATTTTTGCCGTACTGGCGAGTGTTGGGTTTTCGTGCGTACCGGACGACTTGTCCTTTGAGGTTGGCTCCATTCCTCATCCTGCCAAGTCTTTGCCTTGACTTGAATCCGTTAGGAGCAAATGACCCTCGCTGTTGCAAAGGAATTCCCGGTGTTCCGCGTCGGCGAGGAATGGCTCAACATCAAGATGGCGCTGCACGCCCAAAACATTCGTCCGATCTATGCTGACGCACTCCTCATCGAGATGAAACTCGAGCACGTGTACTCGATCGTGGCACAAGTGCGATGTAGTCAGCAAGACATTTACGCTCGAGAAGAAAGTGCCAAGGCTAAAGAGGAAGCTCTCTTTTTTGCTGGTGTGCGCCACCAAAAGGAACAAGAGCGTCAGACAACGTCCAAGAAGGTTGTCGCGAAATCCAGCATGAAGGCACATCTTGAAGCCAAGAAGCGCAAGGCTGACATGTTGCGCAAGTCGACCGTCCTCGATGCCTCGTCCGGCGACGACCGCACCGACACCTCAACCACGTTTGTCTTCACGGACCCTCCACCCGTGTTTCATGACTTGTAATACACTCCATCCTGACTCGACGTCCAGCCGCCATCACCTCCCAGCCTGCCGGTCGTGGAAGTGATGTCGTGTCGACCTGTGTCGCCGCTCGGCAACGTTTACACTTTCCTTTCGCAGAACCCTCGTCTCGGATTGGCTGGAATTTGAAACGCCTACATTATCCGGATACGAATGTTCCAAAAAACAACCTTGAACCCATAGTTGACGCGACTGTCGGCAATCTGTGGCGAGTATACAAAAGTCATCTCCACGATATCCTTCGAGTAAAGCGATTCAAAGCGTCAGGGGAGCATTCATCTTCACATTGGCTTTGTTGTGCTCAAGTGGTCTTTCAGTATGCGTCTGTCCCTGTCGTTGTCCATTATCTATGCTGCCGGTGCCGCCCAGGCGCTCAACTACGACCCGAAGCTGGTCGTGGGCGTGAGTGACCCGGCCCTGATCGCCAAGATTGAAGGGTACATGCCCCCCATCTGCTCGTCGCTTTACGGCGACTCCCAGCACTGGACCGACTGGAGCATCTGCTCGGCCAAGTGCGGCAAGGGCGAGCAAGTCCGCTTCCTCACCAACGACGCGGTCAAGAACCTCCAATCGAACGGATGCGAGATCTCGATCGACAAGCGCGAGTGCAGCGGGAACGAGTGCCCCCAGGATTGCCAGTACGAAGACTGGCCGGCGCAGTGGTCCACGTGCGACAAGTCGACGGGGATCCAAGTGCAATCGCGCCGGGAAATCACCCCCGTGAAGAACGGCGGCAAGACGTGCCCGGAACTGTGGGGACCCCCCACGCGCACCCGTGCGTGCGACGTCGACTGCGAAGGGTCGTACACCGAGTGGACGGAATGCCAAGGCAAGACGGGGTCGCGCAGCCGCTCGTTCATCAAGACCGTGCAAGCGCTCAACAACGGCAAGGCGTGCCCTGCGCCGGTTCAAACCGAGCGTTGCAACCCCGAGTGCCAGGCCATTGCGTGGACCGCATTCAGTGAATGCAACCCCCTCACGGGATTGCACACTCGCACGCGCGACATCCCCATGGACAGCAACTACGTCCAGCTCAAGTCGGCGCTCAAGGCGAACAACTGTCCGTTGGTCGACACCCAGCCGTGCGACTTGGACTGCAAAGTGAGCGACTGGAAGGACAATGGCACGTGCGACCTCGCGACCGGGTCGCGCAAGTTGTCCCGCACCGTCGTGCAAAAGGCGGTCAACTGCGGCAAGCCGTGCAACTCGCTCGACCACGACACGAACCTCGAGTCGACGGTGACGTGCCCTGTCCACTGCGAAGTCAGCGACTGGAGCGCATACTTTTGCGACAAGGTGTCTGGTGTCGCCACGTCGACACGCACGATCACCCGCCAGCCTCTCAACGGCGGAAACTCGTGCCCGGAACTCCAGCGCACCCAACACTGCGGCCCACCCGTGTGCGAAACTGGCGACTGGACGACGCAAGAGTGCTCGGCAGAGACGTGCACGGCTGTCCGCACCCGCGAGCAGCTGTACCCGATCCGCGACCAAGGCAAACCGTGCAGCCTGTACGAGAAGACGCCGTGCAAGCTGGACGCGGTGCTGTCCCCCTGGTCCGAGTGGAGCACGTGCGACGCCACGGGCCACAAGACCCGCACGCGCGAGATCATCTCCGGTGCGTGCAACGGCGGCGTCCCGGCTGGCCCCACCGTCGAAAAGACCACGGACGGGTGCGGCAACATCATTTGCAACTCGCTCAACAACCCGTGGCCGTCGGACGAGCAAGGTGACGTGTGGGGTCCGTGCGACCAAGTGACGGGGATCCAAACCCGCCAGCGCGCCATCATCCGCAAGCCGACGGATGGCACGGTGTGTGAGACTCAACAATCTCGCACGTGCGCCGTCAACTGCGCCGTGGACGCGTGGCAGCCTTGGTCCAAGTGCAATGAATGCACGGGGCTTCAAAACCGCACGCGCAACGTGATCCAGCCCGACCTGAACGGCGGCAACCAGTGCCCGGACACCAAGGAGGTGCGCAACTGCGCCGTCGTGTGCGAAGCCACCGAGTGGACGACGTGGTCCGAGCCCGACGAGGCGTGCACGTGCAAGCGTCAGCGCACGGAGCTCTCGCCCGCCTTAAACGGCGGCGAGTGCGTGTTGGAAGACACGGACCCGCACTGCCCGCGCAGCTGCGAAGTAAGCGACTGGAGCGCGCCTGGCGAGTGCGAGTTGTCCGGGCCGCACGCTGGTCTGCGTAAGTTCACGCGCACGGTGCTCAAGAGCCAATGCAATGCCGGCGCGGCGTGCCCTGAACTCGTCAAGTGGGAGACATGCAACGTGGACTGCGAAGTCGGCGACTTTGGCGAGTGGACCAAGTGCGACCTCGAGAAGCAGCTCCAAGAACGCAGCCGCCCCGTGCTCCAGCAAGCGTACAACCAAGGCATCCAATGCCCCGCCACGACCGAAGTCCGTGCGTGCGGCACGTGCAGCGACCTCGTCGGCCCCTTCACGTACACGTCGTGCGACAAGGAAAAGGGCACGCGCTCGGGCCTCGCGTCGTGGATCGCCAAGCCCAAGCAAGGCCAGGAGTGCCACCTCCAAGTCACGGAACCGTGCGAAGTGTCGTGCGAGGTGTCGGAGTGGAACGCCGGCACGTGCAACGTGCACTCGGCCATGCAAGAGTTCACACGCCAAATCATGGTGAGCGCCAAGAACGGCGGCACGGCGTGCCCGCTGGCCGACGAACTCGTGCGCCACGAACCGTGCAAGGTCGACTGTGTGCCGTCCGACCAGTGGGGTCCCTGGACCACGTGCGACAGCAAAGGGTTCTCGTCCCGCAAGAAGATCGTGGACATCGTGGCCCAGAACGGCGGGTCCAACGCGGACTGTCTCGTCGAAGAAGTCAAGGTGTGCGCTGTGGACTGCGTCATCGATCCCGACTCGGGCGACGTCCTCCAGCCTGCGCTCAACGGCGGCAAGACGTGCAAGAAAGTCGCGGCAGAAAACAACCTCCCCGGCGACTACTCGGACCTCACAACCACGACCAACTTCATGGCGATGGTCAGCGCCAACAAGGAATACGCGATGGCGGCCTTGGCCACCGGCGGCGTCGGCCTCATGTTTGTTGCGGGTTTGATCTCGACGCGCCGCCAGCGCCGCGGTGGCTACGACTCGATCTCGCGCCAGATCCCCAACTAAACCCTGCTTCTGCTGTTGTTCCTAGTGTCGTCCTATAAGCTGCATTGAATATACATCTTGAGTGACCTACGTTTTGAGGCGCCTCTCCACCGACCTTCGGTCCACACCGACGGCAACCCATGCATTCATGTATTATTCATTCGGAATCGGAACTTATTGTTGCACCAACGCGGCAAGGACGAGAGTGACAACGCCAGCCGCCAGGCCAGAAGCAGAGGACTTGACGGTCGTCGTGGGAGCGGTAGTCGTGGT